GCAGTGAAAAACAACAGTTGCTTTTTATTATTGTTAATTTGACCTGGACGCATATTTTCTTAATAAATGATCGTGCCAGAAGAATGGTGGGAAACATCTGGATTAAAGTGGATGTTCTCTAACTTTATTCAAGACCATTTAAATGTATTTTAATCCAGTTTTGTTCCTTTCAGATGTCAATGGTGGCTCATCTTCTGATGGAAATGAAGAAACAGTCTCGACCTCAAAAGAGCAGCTCAAGAGTTTCTCAATCATGGATCTCATCTGAAGACACATGTGCGTTTGCACACCAGTGAGAGGCCGTATCAGTGCAGTGAATGTGGGAAAACCTTCACAGACTCAAGCTCTCTAAAGTCACACCAGAAAGTACACTCTGATGAGAAACCGTTTCAGTGCAAACACTGCGACAAACGATTCCGTCAAAGATCTAATCTGAACAATCACGAGAGGATTCACACCGGAGAGAAACCATATCTGTGCTCCTACTGCGGGAAGAGCTTTTCTAGTCCAGCTTATATTGGACTTCATAAGCGAGTCCACACTGGAGAAAAACCCTATCACTGCAGCGTCTGTGGGAAGAGTTTCAATAAGGTTGATCATTTACAAAAGCACAAGAGGATTCATACTGGAGAAAGACCGTTCAAATGCTCACAGTGTGACAAGACGTTTGCTCGATCAGACGTCCTGAAGGTCCATCAGCGAGTTCATACAGGAGAGAAACCTTACTCCTGCTCCATCTGTGGCGAGAGATTCGCTTATTTAGGTAGTTTTCAGACCCACCAGAACAAACATGCTAAAGAACAAACTGCTCCAGAATCATCAGAGTGACTTTTCATGTCTTGGTCTGTCAATAAAGGCTTTATTTCTGCAGTTGATAATTCATGCTGTGATATGACAGTAACATCAAACAGATGATTGATTCAATTTAAGACAATCTGACATGAACCATATTTTACACAAAAGTTGGATTTCTGAGCAGCATTCATAGTGTGGATATTTAGTCCAGCATCAGTCAGTACGTTTACATGGACAACATTATTCCGATTTTAACATGATTAAGACAATACTCTGATTAAGAATCTACCATGTAAACAGAGATTTTTGATTACCTTAATCCGGCTAAAGTCATACTCAAAGTAAACACAAATCGAATTAAAACGTGGAGTATTCCTATTTTAGTCGCATTACTAAAGTACAGTATAGACATGTAAACACCTTAATCACGCTATTACCGTCGTGTAGGACTTTTCACCACATTTTGCGCCAGGATACACACAACAGTGGTCAACCGTTTGACGGCAAACAAAAGCTTCAACAATGCCGTCATCTGTTTTTATGTATAGCATGACAAATAATTAACTGCACATGAAGTTTTCAGTAAATAACTTCGACGCCATCCGACATCCCCTCCAGAATTTCATGCATAAACATAGTTTGTCTTCGTTATGATGCCATATACGGACGGTTCTGGGTGTTTTATTTTTAATTTTACAAAAGCTTCAAATGCAGTTAATTATTTGTAATGCTATTCGTGCAAACAGACGACGGCGTTGTTGAAACCATGCTCTTTTGTTTGCCATCAAACGGTTGACCACTGTTGTGTGTATCCTGGCGCAAAATGTGGCGAAAAATCCTACACTACGGTAATAGCGTGATTAAGGTGTTTACATGTCTATACTGTACTTTAGTAATGCAACTACAATAGGAATACTCCACGTTTTAATTCGATTTGTGTTTACTTCGAGTATGACTTTAGCCGGATCAAGGTAATCAAAAATCTCTGTTTACATGGTAGATTCTTAATCAGAGTATTGTCTTAATCATGTTAAAATCAGATTATTGGTGTCCATGTAAACATACTGACTGAGTGATTTCACTGTTTCTACAGTATTACAGACCAGAGAGTGAGTTGTATTATTTGTGCCTGTCATTTTTCTGGAAATATTTTCATTTATGGAGCAAAAGCAAATGATCTGTTATCGGTTAAAGTCTGATTTTACTCAACATTAACTGTTAATAAAACCGTTCAATAACTTAAACTATTATAGTATACTCAAAGTTGTCCTGATGTGCAGAATATCAGCATGAATGCCACAGAAGAAGGAAGATCAGACGCTGTTTGTCAGAAATTTACTTTAGTGATTCTCATGAAATCTGTCAAAAATGTCCATGCTGCAAGTAAATGAAGCCAATATTTAAGACCCTTTTTTGTATTGTGGCATTACTGTGATTAAATGTGCCCCATGTACTCTATTTAAGTACTGTATATTATACTTATATTTTAAAACAGGCTTATGTTAGAAGAGCAATAGTTGCTGTCAGGATAACGGCCATTAACGGATTTAAGGCGGGGCTTAAGAGAGGGACAGTTATTGACACGATTCATCAAAATGGCCTTAAATTAGGCTTTCTTTATACATTTGATTTTAATTTTGGGTGAAATATGTCCCGGACATGTAGCGTTTGGATATCACTAACACTAGTAATTTCCTAAACTCACGTAAATTATCTCAGACAAACAGCTGTACAATATTGTGTCAGTAATACCGGCTATTTTACTTAAGTATTTCCTATGTAATGAAAAACGGACTAAACTAATAATGTCTGTGATTGTTGTAGTACCCATTTTTCTACAATCATCCTCTTGTCAGTCAATGCCGCTCATTTTCATCATTAAACTGAAGTCATATCCAGCGACGTTGGCGCTCCAGTCCAGCAGGGGGCGGAAGTGCGTCATATGTTGCTGGGGCGGAAGTAGAGCAGTGTTTTCTTTCTGCCGCTGCGTGATTAACGTGTTTCAGGTCGGTTGTGTGATTTTCTGGCATAATCTGCTTTAATTTAGGTAGGTGTGGCTGACTCTTTATAAAGAATATCTCTTTGGATTTGAGACTTTAGTCTTTGCAACTTTACAGATCTTCTTTATGCACCAAGAGCTTGTAACACTCCAAAGAGAAAGGAAAAATTGAAATCGCATCATATGACCCCTTTAAATTTGTATTTGGAACGTTTTATCAAATACTTTTTTATGTTTAGAGTTTGTTTCACCATTGTCCCAGACATTCAGTCAAAAACCATAAAAAAACTATTATAAATATATTGCCTATGCCTAGCTAAAACTATAATGATTTTACCAAGAATCAGTGGCATTATTGACTGGCCATATAAAAGCAATGAACTTTACCAGTTTATATTAATATAAAGAAAGTTTGTTTACAAGCATGGTCAGCAGTTAAATATACAGTATAAAGTTCATGATGATAAAATATTTAACCATTCACTCTTAAGGTCGGGACAAACCAAGCCAACGGTCAGGATAGTTTGTTTGGTGTGTTCCACACGTCGGCGCGAGTGAGATCTCTGATTGGATGTTCAGTTTAGGAGTCAGTGCTCAAGAATTAAAGGGTTAGTTCACCCAAAAATTACAATTCTGTCATTAATTACTCGCCCTCATGTCGTTCCAAACCCGTAAGACCTCCGTTCATCTTCGGAACACAAATTAAGATATTTTTGATTAATTCTGAGAGCTCTCTGACCCTCCCATAGATAGCAAGTGTCCTTATACGATCAAGGCTCAGAAACGTAGCAAGGACATCGGTAAAATAATCCATGTGACATCAGGGGTTCAACCTTAATTTTATGAAGCTATGAGAATATACGTTGTTTTCGTTCTATCAAAGCGTCGGTACAACGTAGAAAATGTGTCCGCGTGACGCAGCTGACACAGAACAGCATACGCCGTTTACGTTCAGTGGATATTATCCAAAATGGCACCAGGGTGACGCGGAGGAGACAAATTTGAATAAATTCGTTATTTTTTTTCTTTTGCGTACAAAAAGTATTCTCGTAGCTTCGTAAAATTACGGTTGAACCCCTGATATCACATGGATTATTTTACCGATCTCCTTGCTACGTTTCTGGACCTTGATTGACAGAATTTTCATTTTTGGGTGAACTATCCCTTTAAAGTGAAAGTGATGAAAAGTAGTAAGTAAATGAAGGCGGCGCAGACAGAGGGCTGTTCTAATGTTACGTGATCTTTCCCAGGCATTCCAACATGCAAATATATTCATAACAACATGAGCCGCTTAAAATTAAGAAAGTTATCAACATGACTATTCAAAATAGTAAGCAAGCGCTGCTTCGTTTACGTGTCGTATATCGGCGCAGTAGGTTGTAGTCTGTGCGGTGTGTTCAAGCACAGCTTTTTGGCCCTGCATCGACTACCGGGCTCTAAATAAAGGCACAGTGAAGTTCCGCTATCCACTTCCCCTCGTTCCAGCGGCTTTGGAACATCTCCGCGGAGCCACCGGTCTTGCGACCAAAGATAGCCTACAATAATTTTCTGATAGTGTCAGAAATACAGCATGATCATCTCACAGTGTGTTCTCTGCTATGATCCACGTTTACTGATCATCCAATAAAAATGCGACATGAAATCAATGCGACATGGCGCTAAAACATAAAACGGCTTACCTCAAGCTCTTACTCCTTCCTCTTTCGCTGCTTCCACTTTATTCAGCACACAGAAAAACTACAATGGCCAAAGTGTGAATATCATGCTCTTTTTGTTTACCACTAGCTAGGGATGTAACGATTCACTCAACTCACGATTCGATTCACGATTTTGATTTCAGTACGTTCCAGTCATCCACTCCGTGAAAGCTCCGTTTCCCCATCAGCTGAGGTGTGTGCTGTCCTCTATCCCGATTCCACGATCTCCTGGAGGACCAGTGACAGGGTTAACACTCCTCTTCTCCCTTGAAGAACTATATTCAGCACTATTACTCACCTCCCCGAGTCTCCTGCACTCAGTGTTGAAAATAAACTTTATTGCTATTTTTCTAATCCTCTGTGTGAGTCTCCTTCCGTAACACCTGGACTTTATTTTGTGTTTTGTGTGCGGCAGTCATCCGCGAGGGGCTGCCGCTTTATTTTTATTTTGTGTTGGTTTATTTTATTAAAGTATTTAAATTTTCGCCAGTTCCCGCCTCCTTCTTCCCGATCTACGAACTTTGTTACAGTGCCTTTTAATAATCATGAAGTGTTTGTATTCAGATGTTGACCATGAAAGCGCAGGTGGATGTGGTCTGCTGTAAATCAGTAGGAACTGATCTGTCCATGCTGGATATTGAGGATTTCATCACAGAAATCTGTCAGCTGAAGAAAGAGGTGGCTTCACTGGAGGCAAAGCTGAGAGAAAGAGGAGACAAACTGAACAGAGAGGTTTGAACAGCTCTTCATTTCATATTTCAGCTCAATCACTGTCAGTTTGTCTGATGAAATGACTGTCTTTTAATGTATAATTAAGTTCCTAAGCTGATTCACAAACAAAATAACTACAAATTATTGCCAGATTCTGTATTGATAAGCTGATTGTGTTTGTCAGGATGTGGAGAAGGTTTCAGTGCATGTGACTGATGGGACAGAAGCTCAGGATTCAGTCTGGAGCGTCAGAGATCAGAGATCCAGAGACACACAGGACTCAGAGCTCAGCCTCACTTTACTCTGTTATACTGACGCTCAGGATCATGAATCCACTGATCAAACCTCTGACTGTAACGCTGGAGAACAGCAGATGCTGCAGACGCCGCTGAAGATGTGCTCCGTCAAACTGGTGGACTGCAGGAACCTGATAGAGAGCCGAGGAGAAGAAACCACCGCAGAGAAAGAACAACAACACAGTGATGAGGAAGAGGAGGATGAGAATAATGGGGATGATGATGATGAAGATGATGATTTCATTCCTCCAGGTTTGTTTCTTCCTTTTATGACTTGTTTTTCATGACACTTGAATGTCAGCAGAGACTCTGCAGGATCAGGTTCATATTGGCTGATGGTGCAGATTTGCTGAAATATTTGGGAACATGATGGCAAATGTTAGTAGGGCTGAAGAATTTATGAGAAAAAATCAAATTGACATATTTCTGATTATTTTTTTTTAATGGGATTAAAAGTTAAAAGAGCTCCAGGTTTGCTGTGCTTGTTTGAAAGGCCGCTGGATTTCGCCAAACATCACATTATGGTTGTTTTGCAGGATATTGTGATAATTATTAATACATTATGAATAATAATAATTATTAATTAACTTTAAAAATAACAAAGCATTATGCAGACACAGGCTTTTGCGTGGAGCAGCATTTACTACAAACCAAGCAGTGAAAAACAACAGTTGCTTTTTATTATTGTTAATTTGATCTGGACGCATATTTTCTTAATAAATGATCGTGCCAGAAGAATGGTGGGAAACATCTGGATTAAAGTGGATGTTCTCTAACTTTATTCAAGCATTCAAGCAACCATTTTAAATTTATTTTATTACGGTTTTGTTCCTTTCAGATGTCAATGGTGGCTCATCTTCTGATGGAAATGAAGAAACAGTCTCGACCTCAAAAGAGCAGCTCAAGAGTTTCTCCTGCGCCACGTGTGGAAAAACATTCAGCAAACAGGGTAATTTAACGAGACACAAGATAATACACACAAAACCGAAACCGAAACACTTCACCTGTAGGAGATGCAAAATCAGCTTTCCTACCGCAGAAGAGAGGAGACTTCATTCAAAAGAGCACAGCATGAAGGAGATTCACTGTGAACAGTGCGCAAAGGTTTTTTTCAATTCTTCAAAACTAAAAGTTCACTTGAAGACTCACGGTGAAAAGTCTTTCCACTGCAGCGAATGCGACAAGTATTTCAGCACCAAAGGAAATCTTGATGCTCATAAGCGAATCCACACGGGAGAAAGACCATACAAGTGTCCTCACTGTGAGAAGAGCTTCAATCATGGATCTCATCTGAAGACACATGTGCGTTTGCACACCAATGAGAGGCCGTATCAGTGCAGTGAATGTGGGAAAACCTTTACAAACTCAAGCTGTCTAAAATCACATCAGAAAATCCACACTGATGAGAAACCATATCAGTGCAAACACTGCGACAAACGATTCCGTCAGACTTCTAGTCTGAACAATCATGAGAGGACTCACACCGGAGAGAAACCATATCTGTGCTCCTACTGCGGGAAGAGCTTTTCTAATCAAACTCATTTTAAAGAACATCAGAGGATTCACACTGGAGAAAAACCGTATCACTGCGGCGTCTGTGGGAAGAGTTTCAGTAAGGTTGGTACTTTACAAAAGCACAAGAGGATTCATACTGGAGAAAGACCGTTCAAATGCTCACAGTGTGACAAGACGTTTGCTCGATCAGGTGTCCTGAAGGTCCATCAGCGAGTTCATACAGTCCATCAGCGAGTTCATACGGGAGAGAAAACTTACTCCTGCTCCATCTGCGGCGAGAGATTCGCTTATTTAGGTAGTTTTCAGACCCACCAGAACAAACACGCTAAAGAACAAACTGCTCCAGAATCATCAGAGTGACTTTTCATGTCTTGGTCTGTCAGTAAAGGCTTTATTTCGGGCGTCACGTCTCAGCTGATCATCCAGTCACGTCACGTCTCAGCTGATCTTCCAGTCACGTCACGTCTCAGCTGTTCGTCCAGAGTCACGTCACGTATCAGCTGAACTTCCAGAGTCATGTCACATCACTGCTGATCATCCAGAGTCACGTCTGCCATGGAGGCTGATTGTGATCTGTCCCTCCGTCTAGTCGCAACAAATGAATCTGATTTCGAAATGTCTGACTTGTCAGCTCCAGTCAATGCTCTTGATTTTGAAGAGTCTGTTCACCCTATTTCAGTCAATACATCCTGTGTTGAACTGTCTGCTAATCTGATTTCAGTTAACGAATCTGATTTTGAACCATCTGTCGGTCCAGTTTCAATCTATTAACCTGTTATTTGCCCCACTAGTCCAGTCACGGCCCCAGAAACCTTACCTGAGCTCCCTGTAGGCTCTAGTAGCATTGTCACAGCCCAAAGACCCGCCTTTGAACTCTTAACCCTGCCTGTCATGAGCTCAGAAACTACAAATGCACTCTATGTCTGTCCCATTACCCCTATCAGTATCAAAGAAACCACTAATGAATTGACTATCTATCCTGTCTCAGTCAATGAGTCTAATTTTGAACCACATGTCTGTTCCGTTTCGATCAAAGAGTCTGATTTTGAATTGTCTGCTTGTCCAGTTTCAGTCTGTGAGCCCGTTTATGAACTGTCTGTCTGTCCAGTTTCAGTCAATGAGCCAGATTTTGAACCGTCTTCCTGTCCGGTTTCAGCCAATGAATCTAGTTGTAAACTGTTAACTCAACCAGTTGTTGCCAATGATTCCAATGATGAACTTTCTGCTCGTTCAGTTGTCAGCAGAGAAAACATTGATGAGCTTTTTGTGTCCCCTGCCTCGGTCCTTGAGACCGTATATGCTCTGTCTGTCTCTTGTGTCTCAGTTTTCCCTAGGTCCCAATCTCTACCAGGAGTTTCTGCTCTGTCTGCTCCGCAGTGGGGGTTCTCAGCTCCATCTGCTCTGCCGTGGAGGTCTTCTGCTCCGTCCTGGTGGGCTTCTGCTCCGCCGTGGGGATCTCTGGACATGTCTGCTCTGCTGTGGTGGTCCTCAGCTCCACCTGTTCTGCCGATTCCACTCTGGCTCTATGTTCCGCCCTGGTCCTCTGCTCCACCGGCTCCGCCTGGCTCCCTGTTCCGCCCTGGTTCCCTGCTCCACTGATTGCACACAGCTGTAACCAATCACAGACACACTATATAACACCCACTCAGATCCTTCTCAAATCGCCGAGTATTGTTTAGCGTTTATCACTTTTATAGCTGATAGCTACTTTACGGAGCCTGCTTTAGTTTCCTAGTCTAATCTTAGTCTTGCATTGTCTGTTTTCTCGTGTTCTGATCATTGCCTGTGTATTTCGGATTACCCCTTTTGTCTGGTCGTTCGGACTCTGTTTGCCCCTGCCTGGACTTTTGCCTTGTACCTGGATTATCTCTCTAGTCTCGCCCTGTTGGATTACGCTCGCCGACGATTGACCCTCACTTGTTTACCGGACTGCTCTTGTCTTGTCTTCTACATACCTGTTTGCCATTGTCTGACCCATGCCTGATTGTGACCACGTGAAAATAAAAGCTCTGCACTTGGATCCTCAACCCCCGTTCCCAACACACTTTCACAGCATGCGTCTCGCCCTTAAAATCATCAGGAGTCAACAAGCTGTGGCAGAGAGAGATGCGGCAGTGCCAATCGCATCTCTCTCTAATACTTAAGTAAATGGGAGTGGGAATTTACCACATTATGAACGTGGCATTTGCGGGAGTTATTAACATTGTACACAGTACCCGCTCAAAAAACACAGAACGTTCCCTTAACGTTCCCATATGGTTCCTATTTGGTTATTTTTTTGGGAACATCTCAAACAGTCTTCACTGACTGATGAAGAGTGCAATTCACTAACCCTCTTAGCTGAACATATTGCCAGGAAGAAGACTGTCAGGAACTTTAGATCGGCTTGAAACCAAAGGTTCAAAAGGTGCTTTGACCAGTGAACGCAAAACAATAGTAAGATCCCAAGCGGGTGATCTTATAACCCTCCCTGGGCATAAACGGTGCGCACCCTTAAGGGATTGAGACACTAAAGAGTGTTTACCAATACTTACACCATCCACTAAAGAATGAAAATGTGAGATGGCTCCAATATAGGCCTTTACAGTATTAACCGATTTCCCTGAATCCAACAATGACTGAAGGAGCTGGAGAACACAACTGGTGTCACAATTGGCAGCATCTAGCTCATGGTCTTAACACCATGAGAGAATATTTGCCACTTGCTAGAATAGTTACTCCAAGTAGAGGATGCCTTAGAACTATTTGTTGTCCTCAGTACAGCTTCATCTAAGCCCTTAGGGAGGGACTGAGCAGAGGCCAAACCCACAGTTGTAGAGTCTCTAGCCTCTGGTGCCAAATTTGTCCCTCCGCCTGAGACAGGAGATCGATTCTCCTTGGTTGCTGCCAATGACGACCTTGAACCACACGTACAAGAATTGGGAACCAGTGTTTCTTTGGCCACAAGCAAAACTTTGTGATGGACCAGTTCTACCCTCCTGAGCACCAAGGGAATCATTCAGGGAAAAGCATACAACAACTCTTCTGGCCATTCTTGAGATTATTTCTTGTTGTCAAAATTAGGCAGTCAACTCTGTTACCAATGTTGCCATTGACAATGTTGACAGTTTGTAAAGTTTGTAACAGAAATGACATATATATGTGTGTGTGTTTCTCTGTGTATGACTGTTAATTCTGCTACATACTGTCAACACTGTCACTATATATTGGTAACAGAGTTGACATTGACTAATTTATTTATTTTATTTGGATGAAATACGCCCCAGACACCAGCAGTTTCCTGAACTCAGGTAAATTATCTCAGACACAGCTCTACAACTCTATGTCCATAATATCGGCTCTTAAGTATTACTTCACTATTACTGAAAACGGGTTAAACTAATCATTATGTCTATCACTGTTTTTGTGTCCTACCCATTTTCCAACAATCACCCGCTGGCTGCAAATGCCGCACATTTTTATCATTACAGTGGGGGTCTAATGCTATTTCATGCAGTCTTACATAGTTGGATTCTCATGCTAAACATGACCAATGTAAAAAAAAAAAAAAAGCTGGACATATGACGGAGTATTTCTGTGCCAAATACACAAGTTTTATTTTTTTATGCAGAAAAAGGAACATACAAATAATAATAATAACAATACAAAAATTATAAACAAACAAAGCATAGCACACATTCAATTTTAACAATGACATTACTAAGTACCAGGGGGATTGAAGATTGTATCATAATATTTTAAATATTATATAAAAATAATATGTATCATTATTTTTTAACAGTCTTATTGAAGAAACAGTCTAAATCAATACAAAACAAATTTAACATAGGAGATTAATTAAGATAGTTTTGTTTATGTATGTGAAATTTTGCTAATAAAATAAAAAAGGTTAACTAAATTCTAGATCTTTATTGCTTTTGTTTTCATAATACAAGATAACATTCTTTAAAGTAAAGCAATAATTAATATTCGTTACATTAAATATAAATTCTGCCAAATCTATCCAAAACCTATTTATGACTTTACAGTCAAAAAATACAACATACATCATCAATATCAGTGAATCTTGGTATTAAAGGGGTCATATGATGCTGCTAAAAATAACATTATTTTGTGTATTTGGTGTAATGAAATGTGTTTATGCGGTTTAAAGTTAAAAAAACACATTATTTTCCACATACTGTACATTATTGTTTCTCCTCTATGCCCCGCCTTTTTGAAACGCGTCGATTTTTACAAAACTCATCGGTCTGAAAAAGCGAGGTATGCTGTGATTGGCCAGCTATTCAGTGCGTTGTGATTGGCCAAATACCTCAAGCGTGAGACGGAAATGATACGCCCCTATTTGGCCAAATATCAAATTATGTTTGTTTTGTACAACCCCAAATCAGAAAAAAATTGTACATTTTGAAAAAAAGGCAAAAGTACACAGAAAAGATTTCCAATGTTTTCAATGACCAAATTAATTGTATTTTGTAAATATAAATACATTTTGATTTTGATGGCTGCAACACACTCCAAAAAAGTTGGGACAGAGGGATGTTTAACCCTGTGTCCAGTGCCGCGTTAAGCCTTTGCGGTCCCCCCCGCATCCCCTTCCTTATAAATAAAAATAAACTCGATGCACACTTCATCATAATCCCATATATATATAGGATAAAAATAATTTACATAATCTTACAAATCAGAAACAGCCCAGCCAATAAAATTTATTAAATATCACTCACCACTGAAAGGTCCCCACATTTAATTCCTCAATTAAATACACATCCATCATACAAAAAATGTTACACAAACTACTGGCATGAGTAAATTTTATCACCATAGAATTGTGACTGCACAAAGATGTAATTTAGGAGGTGGATACTGTGAAATTACATACATTATGGCATAACATTGCCATATGAAGCATCAATCAATAAAGAATGTTTAAACAAGGGCAATTAAAATTTTGAACTAAAATTTTATTGCAATGTAGCAATATGAATGTAGCCTGTGAATGCATGAAATGCATTGTAGCCGATGAATGCATGAAAATGAAATTTTTTTCAGTGAAAGAGAAAATATAGAGTGTGGGCTGCTTTTGGTGCTTGAATTTGTTTTCCAATAATGAGGTCCAAGCTAGAAGTCAAAATTTTAAAAATGTATAATTTTGTTTCTCTATTTAACAACATTAACTTACAATAGTGAAATACGTCTTCCCTCAGGTAGATTGTATGTGCTTGCGATTAAAAAATCACATCTCTGCATTCGCCCAAACTGATTTGCAGAAATCAAACGTGCCTAGAATTTGGACTGGCAGACTCTAGCGTTGTCCTGAGACCCTGACCTGGATATGTGCCCCAGGATCCCACTACTCCCTTTAGGGACCAAGTGGGGACCCTGCAGGCTCTCCCTTCTGTTGAGGGAGACCCAACCCTGTCTCTGTTGTGCCCACTGTGAGCCCTGCGCATCTATTTGGAATGCACACAGATTTTCAGATCATCTGCATAGCTTTTTGTCTGCGTTGGAGGACAGCAGAAGGGGAAGATCTTGTTGTTCATAAGCGAATCCACACGGGAGAAAGACCATACAAGTGCCCTCACTGCGAAAGAAGATTCATGTATGGATCTCATCTGAAGACACATGTGCGTTTGCACACCAATGAGAGGCCGTACCAGTGCAGTGAATGTGGGAAAGCCTTTAGGCAGTTATTTAGTCTACAGTCACACCAAAAAATGCACTCAGGTGAGAAACCGTTTCAGTGCAAATACTGTGACAAACGATTCCTTCACAAATCCTACCTGAACTATCATGAGAGGACTCACACCGGAGAGAAACCATATCTGTGCTCCTACTGCGGGAAGAGCTTTGCTAGTCCAGTTCATTTTGGACTTCATCAGAGAGTCCACACTGGAGAAAAACCGTATCACTGCAGCGTCTGTGGGAAGAGTTTTGGTAAACACATTACATTACAAAACCACAAGAGGATTCATACTGGAGAAAGACCGTTCAAATGCTCACAGTGTGACAAGACGTTTGCTCGATCAGACGTCCTTAAGGTCCATCAGCGAGTTCATACAGGAGAGAAACCTTACTCCTGCTCCATCTGCGGCGAGAGATTCGCTTATTTAGGTAGTTTTCAGACCCACCAGAACAAACACGCTAAAGAACAAACTGCTCCAGAATCATCAGAGTGACTTTACATGTCTTGGTCTGTCAATAAAGGCTTCATTTCGGCAGTTGCTTTCATCGTGCATGCCCTGTGATGTATAATGTGACGTATAACAGTAACATCATACACATGATGATTTCAATTTAAAACATATATTATGCAACAGTTGAATTGGTTTTCTGAGCAGCGTTATTAGTGTGGATACTTCATCCAGCATCACTGAGTGATTTCACTATTTATACAGTATTAAGGCCTTTTCACACTGCAGTCAAAAATTCGGCATGAATGTTCGGCAGGATGACTACTGAATAAATAAGGGATAATGTACATCCAGCCGGTTGTTATCCGAGAATAAAGCCCGAAAGGATGTTGTATAAGACTGAAGGGCTTTATTTTGCGATAACCGGTGGATGCACATTATCCCGCTTATTACATGGCTGCTTTCCAAAAAAAAAAAATTTAAACTTTAGACACAAAGCATTGTTCTAAGTTGAAATATTTGAACGCAAATCTTTCATGAAAAAAGCAGTAGCTAGCAAGCGGCAAGTTCAAATTAGACGGACATTTAAGAGATACCGGTGCAGTCATATCACTTATTACACAACATTTCACCACAAAATTAAGGAGATAAAAGATACTGATTTAATATGAAACCGTTTTAAAATCTTACTAGTTTGTTATCTATCTTATAATCCATTACAGTGTACAAAACTATCGTCGCAAAATGGCAGCAGCTGCGTTTGTATGAAACGCAATACCAGAGTGACATAATTGTACACATAATATTTAATTGAGTTTTAATATATTATTAGCTCACCAAACGCAAAGCTTTCACCAAGAAAAAAACTGTTTCTAGCAAGTGCATAGCGTTTGCGATAACCGGTGGATGTACATTATCCCGCTTATTACATGGCTGCTTTCCAAAAAAAAAATTTAACTTTAGACACAAAGCATTGTTCTAAGTTGAAATATTTGAACGC